CCAACCTCATGAAGTTTAACCATGCCAAGTGCAAGGTCCTACACCTGGGTCAGAGCAATCCCAGGCACAGCTACAGGCTGGGAGGGGAGGGGAGGGGAGATTCAGAGCAGTCCTGCAGGGAAGGACTTGGGGGTGTTGGTCAATGAGAAACTGAACATGAGCCGACTTCAGCGTGTGCTCGCAGAAAGCCAACTGTATCCTGGGCTGCATCAAAAGGAGCGTGACCAGCAGGCTGAAGGAGGTGATCCTGCCCCTCTACTCAGCTCTCGTGACCTCACTTGGAGCATTTGTGTGCAGTTCTGGTGTCCTCAACAAAAAAAAGGACATGGAACTTTTGGAACAAGTCCACAGGAGGGCCACGAGGATGATCAGGGGACTGGAGCACCTCCTGTATGAAGACAGGCTGAGAAAGTTGGGGCTGCTCAGCCTGGATAAGGCTGCATGGAGACCTCATAGCAGGCTTCCAGTATCTGAAGGGGGCCTATAAGGATGCTGGGGAGGGACTCTTCATTAGGGACTGTAGTGATAGGACAAGGGGTAATGGGTTAAAACTTAAACAGGGGAAGTTAAGATTGGATACAAGGAGGAAGTTCTTTACTGTAGGGGTGGTGAGGCACTGAAATGGGCTGCCCAGGGAAGCTGTGAATGCTCCATCCCTGGTGGTGTTCAAGGCCAGGTTGGACAGAGCCTTGGGTGACATGGTTTAGTGTGAGGTGTCCCTGCCCATGGCAGGGGGGTTGGAAGTAGATGATCTTAAGGTCCTTTCCAACCCTAACTATTCTATGATTCTCTAATTGTTCATGAAAGAAAGCTACAGATTTTAAAACAAAGGGATCATAAAGTGACAACTTTCATGATGTCATTTAGCCCTCTGGTACTAAATGAAATGGATTGTTTATATGTAAGCATTGTAAGATACTGAAAAAAAAAAATCATCAAGCATTTAATAAAATCTCTGAGAAAATAAATGTATGTCTGGCTTAGATGATGAAACTGATTTAGTGACAGATTTTAGACTTAATCAACACAGCTGTATTTTCTTCCAAAGCAGAAACAGGAGGCTGAAAAGGAAAGTTTCTGTTATGCACAAAGTTTTAGGATGAGTTTGGTTCCTGCAACAAGATTTCAGTCCACTGGAACTCAATCCAAGAATCTCCAAGGATGGACATTTGACAGTAATTTTGTTTCAGAAATAATATAAACTGCATTTCATATATGAAATAAGCTATCTGCTCCCAGCAGCATTATACTATTGGCTGCTTAGAACTGGGCTCTTGAACTTTCTAATGCAAATCCTGAGATCTCTGGAAAAACCGCCTGCTTGGATTCTCAGTGTTGCCAGGCCTGAAGAAGTTTAGGTGGCAGGTCTGTTTTAGAGCTACTGATCTTGGAAAACTTGGGTTTCACTGCCAGTGTTCCAGTAAACTTTGTTTTGGTTTTGTGGAATGAAAAATCTTGCCATATATTGCCGCAACAGCTGAAGAGACAAATAGCAATCTTTAAATATGTGTTACATGCATTGTTAATGCATAGGAAAATGGACACTGTGAAATTATTCAGTAAGATTTAAGTCTTACTCTGTAAGATTTAAGTCTGTTGGCCATATAAAAGTTACAGGGAACAACTGCTTACTCTTAATGCCTTGGCGACCAAGATCTTAAAAGAAGATACATTACTTCTATTTAAATCATCAGATAAAATTTTCCCTTTGGGAATGAGAGATGACTATCTTTGGATCCTAGAACAATGTGACACAGTCATGTATATCTTTATTATGTAACATATATCTATAGCCTACATGACCTAAAATAGGTTTTTGACATAGACACAAAAAGATTGATTTCTTTCTAGTCATTGGTATATAAACAATCTTGGGAAACACTAGAAGAAGCTTTCAGTATGTGGCAGCTGGTTAAAAGACCATTTTTTGTTAGGGAATTACAAGCACTGATAAACTTTTAGGAAATATTCCCAAAGGCAGTTTAAAGAGATTTTGCTATTTGCAGAAGGCACTATTACTGTTTAATTTATAGAGTTAATAAAATGATTCTGAATTATTTAATAAAGCAGGGAATAATCACAAAGTTAATAGTTGTCTGCTTTGATAGTGATATGAATCATGCACCAGAATAAAACATGCTGTTAATGAAATAAACAACTATAACAATTTCAGTTTATATAAAAAATAATTACAAAGCAAAGGACTTAGCTGTACTGTTTTTCAAAGAGGGAAGTGGGTGCTGTGCAAGGGCAATGGCTTTTACTAGATCTAAGAAACTTTTCCTGTATTTTAACACATGCAATTTTACATCCCTTTATTATCACAATGTATCACCAATTTATATCACTATTGAATGCAAGCACTTTATCTCATTCTTTTGTGAGTTACCACAGTATTTCTAAAGCAGAGTGATCTCAGGACCACTTGTAGTTTCAATCTGAATATAAATCCTTAGAAAGAGGCAGATATAAGAGAGGTGGAAAAATAGGGGAGAAACAACAGATAATTTTAATTCCTTCCTTTCTCAGTTTAAATTTCAGGCCTTTCCAATCCCTTATAACACATTTTGAAAAAGACTGAAGTTGCTACAAGTGGTTTGAGCTAGCTGATAGATAGAACATCATACAACCCGTGTACATCTGCATACACAGTGAAGGATTAGAACTGACCATGTAAATAAGACTGTGTAAGCCTAAAATAGATGGAGAAATTTGTAGGTTTTGCTTAACTATTGCCCAGTGTTGCTGTTCATAACGTGCAGGGCTATTATCGAACCTTACCTGTAATCAAACCCTTTGTTCAAAGCTTTAGAAATATCTGGGGAATATTAAGAAAACAAACAAACAAAAATGTGTCAAATAGCCAAGTCTTGCATTAAAAAGAAAAAAGAATCATAATTTCATCCTGTTGTTAAGTAGAACACAATGAATATCTCCTCCTTTTCAGCATTTTTAGTTTCCCAATCAAGACTGTAAATGGTAATTTTCATTTGTGTCTTGGATTCATATTTTTAATTAACAACAGCTGTTATTATCTACCTCAGTGCATAGCTTCAGGATGTGCACAGCTTCTACAAGAACTTCTTAGTAAATACACAGTGAATCACTCAAATTCCTATCTCAGTGCAATAGCTTTCTATTTCAGTTACAGTCCAGCATTTAGCAAGTACAAGAGGAGCAAAGCAGAACAAAAGTGACTCGGAAACCAAGGGACAGAAGTCTTTAAGTGATACGGGCTCCTCCTGCTAGAAACCATTATGGCAGCCAAGTCTTCTAGCCTGGCCACATTATAGTAAAGTAATAAGCATGGAAAATCAAATCCTTGATTCCCACTGATTTCATATTGATTGTGCACAGAGAAGCAGCAACTATTGCCTTTACTTAACCAGCGGTCACATGAAGTCAAGACTTACCTCCCGGAGCTTCTTTTTACTTGTGAGGATTGTTGGTCTGACAGACCCATGTGAAGTAAGAAGAGGGGGAAAATGACACTGTCTTCTCAGGCACATTTGGCAGAATACTGCGGAGTGCATACCAGCCTTCAGCTCTGTTGTGGCCAGGTTATGGTTTCGGGGAGGAAGACTCTCTTCTTCCTACCGTCTCAGTCTCTGAGCTCCACCAAACTCACTCCTACCTCCAATACACTACCTTCCCAGACCCCCTAGCAGCCATTGCCAAATGCACCCTTCCTGTTCCTGCCACAGCTTTGCCTACCTTTAGCAAAAAGTCTCCCTGTGGCAGGCACTGGAGAGCGGATTCAGCCATGTGGGCTACCTTCATGCGTTGAACAGCTGCTCCCTCTCTCCTCCAAGGAAACAGCAGTAAACTAGATGAAAGCATTGCACAGGCCACAAGCTGAGCCACACTCACCTAGAAGCATTCCAAGGGCCTCAGCTCTGATCGTAGGGATGAAACTTCTCAGGGAGCTTATATCCAACAGCCCAGCACCTTGCTTTGCTACCAATACATGCTGGAGACAATCTCATCTTGTTCCTTCTTTCCCCGCCCCACTGCATTCACCAGAACAGCAGAGGTTAATGGCTTGTAGACATAGAAGTATAAGCCACATATGTTTTCTTCCCAACCTGTTTTTTCCTGCTTCAGTTAATCTGTTTGTCAGTCATTACAGTAAACTGCATATACCAACTCCTGCAACAGACTCATACATAGCCCGGATGAAGCTGCTACAAGGATTGTTGTTAATGTGTCACCACTAAAAAAAAAAATAAAATAATAAAATAGAATCTTATGCCAGTGTTTGTTTTTATAAAGGAACTGTAATGTGAAGCTGCCATTCAAACTAGGAATATGCTAGAAGGTAGCTCCTGAGTCATGCAGAGCTTGCTTTTCATGATAGGGGACTAGATATCACTCAATTCCTTAGATCCGTATCTCCCAAGACACATACATGTACATGCATACATACTCTTACCTTACTCCTTCTTCTATTAAAAACTTTTCTTTAAAGATAGTACACTTGGCTGACTATAATACAGATTTCAGAAGCCAGGGTGACAAACATGAGAGCTAGAATATACCATAGTTAGTCAGAAGGATCTAGCTATGAATACTGCAGAGGATTTCAGAGTCCAGGCATCTTTAAAGAAGATGGCAAGCCAAGCTTTCCTTTAAATAAATCCACCCATGACATGAACGACTCCCACAATACTCACCAATCCCTGCTTCCCAGACACATATCTATAGCAATGGGCAATGAAGCAGGGAGTGGGGGAAAAGGGAATAAATACATTTTCAATGGAAACCTTAGAACACTGCAGTAAAGCACATACACTAAATGAAATTACTAAAAGCTGAAAGTAAAATTATATGCCACATTAATGTCTCAAGCAGAGCTTTCTCCCCAGAAAGGGGAGAAATTGGAAGATATCATACAGCCCTCTTAGAGAGTTCTTGTGCTGGGTAAAGTACAAGATATTATTCAGAAATTAGTATCCAGGGGCAACTTGGAACTCCAGGGTATGCATCTAAATATTACTTACCCCGATTTATTCTAAAGATGTATCCATGTAAGCACACTGTTTGCTGGCAACTTCACCCATAGGCATGGACTGTACTAGGATGTGTGTACTAATTTTAGTTATATGTATCTTCCCCGAGAACTTCTGACAGATGATTTATCACCACTGAATGTCATGAAGGCATGCTGCACCTCTCTGAATCAATCCTCATAACAAAGTCTTGATAAGCTGAAAAATGCATTTTGTACTATCAGTTTCTAGTAATTGGTTCTCAAAGCCTGCATTTTCAGACTGCTTCTTTGATATTCTGTAATACCACAGACTGTCTTTGAAGAGCGAATAATAATGGAAAGCTTTAAAGAGACTTGTAAAAGTTCTGAAGTCATAGAACTATTTGATTCCTCCTTCGGTCTGTATTATGAAAGCATGCTGAATTTTAATAGCGAAGAGATCTTACAGGCTTTGAATGAAAGATTCTTTCTCTTCTCAAGCCACGGTTTCCACTGCACTATCCTCATTGACATTTCATTGCCTTCAGGATGATGGGATGTATATAGGAGTTTTTTTCCAAGTCTCTTATTAACAGTGTTCTGGGCCAACAAAATGTATGCCTACTCTTTACGATTTCCTGTTCAAATGTATGGTGTTGCATGGAGCTACAGTCATTGAGACACAGAAGGTCTGTCAAAACTCACTTTGCAAACAGGGGTTGTACTTGTTTTCCTTGCCCTTCTTGTTCCTAGCAACTCTGTATAGCAGCTTCCCACAACTTGAGTTCATTTCTCTTCTTCTAAGGTATGACTATGTTGTGCACAGTTGATGCTTCTGCAAAGAAAAATAGTTTTATCATGTTGCACAGTTTAGACTTCCACCAGCTCATTAACTCAAAATAAACTAGGAGGCATTCTGTCTGCTCAATGTCTGCACAGTGACATTTACCATGAGAGAGGCAGACAAGAAATACTCAGTGACTGGAGGTTTTTACAAACCAGAATAGTGACACTGTAATCTTGCTCTTTCCCTCTCTACACCCCCCTTTCCAATCACTCATGTCCCTTTTATACACAGCTAAAATGACTGTTAGAAGTACCCTTTGAAGTGTGCTCAAATCTGAAATACAGATATTATTGTTCACTTGAAATAAAAAAAAAATAGAAAGAAAAAGTAAAAGCAACTTAAGCATCCTCTGGTTCCAGGACATATAGCAGAAAAGACATTACTGTTACTAAACTCATTTCTGAAGTCAACAGATGGTCTTGCTACACTTAAAGCACTTTGAGGTTGCTTGCTGTGTTCTTTCCTTGTTACAGGAAAAACCCTGGAAGTAGTTTCAAAAGACTATAGGCAGGCAACTTTATGCCAAACATACTTAAACCAGCATTTCTGATATAGCTGAGAACAAATTTTTTTTTTTTTTTTTTTTGGTGAGTAAGTATAAATGTCACAGGACATTTGTGAGTACACATGAGCCAAATTAGAAACAACAAAAGAAAGTCTGATTTTACCACCCCAGTATATTTCAGGCAGCCAGTCAGTGACAGTGGCCCATAGATGCTAAGGCCAGAGATGCTTTGGTAAACAGAATAATTTGCAGCATCGTGTGAGCCATCAGCATAGCAAAATAAACTTCTTGGAGCCATGTGGCTATGCCTCTGCCTACGAAAAAAAATGTGAAAAGCACAAAATAACCTCTTACCTGCAAAAGTTGGTTAACTGCCAGCTATGTATCATACAAACTGAAGCAAGAGCTCTTTAAATGGGCACTTACAGAGGAACTACAGGAACTCAACTATCACTTGAGTCATTAATATCATGCCCTTTTATCAACTCTCTTTGTATCTTAAGAAAAAAAAAAAGCCACACCTTTTTCTTGCCATGGTCTTATACTGCCATCAAACACTTGGTAGACAAATGGTCAGTATTTAACATTGATCCCTACCCCAGTCACATTCATATCTAGCAATTGATGATTTACTCACAGTAATTCCTTGCAATTATCATGTCAAACATTTGCAATAGATAGACATACATGGTACTAAAAGTGAATAACCACAAAGTATTTTGTCTACATATTATCCATTCGCTTGCTCCATTTATGGATAATAGCGCTGTTTGCAGACAACAGCAGCAAAACTTTTCTCCATGGATTTATTTATACCTCTCTATCTCTTGGATTAGGGTTTGCATTTTATTGTGTAATAAGTGCCCCAGAGAAACAAGGAAGTGCAGCAATCAAGAGAAGAGTTCATTTTCCTGCCCAATAATCCTGGCATACTAAACCATTCAACAGAAGGAGTGCATTAATGCTATGCTGTACTGTAAACTGCATTCACCCTTCCCCAGCCTCTACTACTACTAACAGAGAGCAGAGGGATTGCAGTCTTGCTTACTCAAATGTAAATAATTAAGTAATTCACCTGAACCATGGCCACAGGTCGATGAAAGGGAGGATACAGCTTCTGTCCTTTAGTTGTGTTTATATTTTCAAATCATGATGCAAAGCTATTGTTAAAGTCCACTAACAGGAAGAGATGGTGGGTGAAATATTAGGTTATTGACATGCCTTTCCAGTTAAATACCTGAGGTAAAGCCAAGATAGTGGTCCACTTGTTTGTATTTTTTTCCTGTACTAGTTAGTATAGATATAACGTACTCTCATTGATGCCCTGTGATTCTTACATAGATTATCTATCAGCTATTGTCATGTGCCCTAAATTACAAGTCCCTACCCCTGAGGCTAAATAATAAGGTACTTGTAACAGCAGCTGAAAGGAATAAAATCAAGCAACCAAAACCAGTGCTTTTACCTCCTTTCATTCTTATTTTCCCCCACCCTTTTAATATCCAGCAGGCCACAAAATGAATGACAAGGATTAAATAATTTGGCTGCCAGATTATTTTAGTAGCTGTTCTTAGCAGAACATCTATGCAAATCATTGAGGAAGCAGGATGAGTGGGTGAATCAGACTCTGCAGGGTCACTGCACATCTGGCACTCACTGTATTAGTTGCTCCCAGGCATAAGAAAGACATTAAAAAAACAAAGAAGATAACCCACCTAAATGAATGCTAAATATTGAATTAAATCAAAGACAATAGATGTGGACTTTGATTGCCTAAAAGGAACAGGAATTCTGTAGATGACCTACCTGAAAATTCCCACCATTCTTGCACCTGCCCATCCTTTGAGGTACATTTTGTTTAGTTCCTATAATATAAAAGACTAACAGAACATACAAAATGCTAAAGTGTAGAAACTAAAATTCCAAAACTAGCATCGTGTCTTCAGAAACCTTAAACTATGATTTCAATGCTCTCATAGTTATGGTACAGTCCCATTGTTTCTTTCTTGCATGCATCTTCTCATTAGATTGAAAGGTGGTTGGGAAAGAGGACACCCCCTGCTGTATTTTACTGTGCCTTGCACAATGAAATATTTGTCTCCAAATGGAGATTCCAGGCTTTATTACTACATGAATAATATATGTAACTTGAGTTATAACCTCCCAAAGACCTATTTATAAGTCAATTTTTCTGTCTGTTCAGCATGGTGCTTCCTGAATACAGCCACTGATAATATTTTCTTTCTTTACAATAAAGCTTGTATTTTAAATAATCTCTCTGGTCTATGTGTCTGTTAATTATTCTTTATGCCCTTATCTAAAGTACATCACTTATTTAAACTACGTCTTTAAAAAATAAATTCTCTCCCTCCACTCAAGAAAAGCTGCCATTAGCAACTTAACCTAATGAGCAAGTTACCCCAATGAATGAGAGATCCAAATGTTCAACTTAAATACAGAGCAAAAGAATTTGCTCTGATCACAGGGGATTGGCAAAAATGGCAGATAAAAAGATGATTGATTCTCATGGCAAGCACCTACAAAGACAATACTTTTTGTATTCCTCACATACACGCTCCACTTTTTATAAACCTCTTGAGGACAGTGGACTGTGCTTTCAGTCAAATCACCTTAATAGAAAACTGCTCTATTATAAATGTGTCTTGCTATTTTTTTCCAGAGAGGAGAATGAACTGAGGCAACACAATTTGCCACTCATAAGTTTTCTCTGAATCCTCTACATAAGTGAATAATTTCTAAGGATATTCAAAGTGCTACCTGACTACAGATACACTGACAGCTCTAGAACATTTTCTCTCAGCTGCCCTCTAAAAGGCATTCAGTAAAAATAACTGAATTTAGTAAACAGATGGTAACAGACTAAGTCAAGAGCATTTGTGTTTAGTCACCCTGGATTTTCAGGTATTTCTAGGTGAATCCCTCTCTGTGTATTTAAGAGGATATTGCTTAGTAATGTTCCCAAAGCAGTGATGCCGCAGTGAAGAGTTTACTACACAAAAAGGGGGAAAAAAAAGTTCCTTAGCCATTGTACATTTATCTAGGACTTTCTAAGACAGACTGAGCTAGAACCATAAATTGAAAAGTCTCACTAGAACACTACATGGAAAAGCTTCAGTTGCCTTCTTGGTTATATGGGCTTCACATCTCCCACTGTGTCTCTCAGACTCTTAGAGTCAAAATGGCCAGTGGGGCAGAAAAATGGAAAAGCTGAAAAAGAAGTGACACTTTACTTAAGCCTGTTGATTAGACTAAAAGCTTCCAAATGCTAAGTACTAAAGATAAGGCACACTTCACCACAGCAGAAAATTGAATATTAAGTTAGAACAATTACAGATGCCATCTCTGAGTCTTCTAAGTGATGACTGGTTTCATTACAGATCATGCTGACAGCATGACAGGTCTCTGTGAGACAGTATAAATACCTGCCATAAAGCAAATACAGTGTGCTTACTTGCTTCTGGCAGTCAGAAGAAACTATCAATACGTATGACAAGATTCTAAAATGGACTTCCTAAATTAACAAATTCAGCCCCCACTATCAAACAGCTATGTCACAATCCCCTTCGCAAGCTGATTAAAGGACATCCACAAAGCCAGCTGGGGAGAGAGGGATTTTTTACTCCTGTTATTTTCCCTGGAAGGACACTGCAGAACCTCAAACATCTGACATTTAGAAACTTCTGATTTCCTGCCTAAATGTAATTATGACCAAATTTGTTCTTATGCCAAATTTTCCTTTTGGGTAAATGGTTGTTTTCCCTTGCTGGTGTTTTTCAACCAATACATCTGTATGCCGCAACTGCATTTCCTCTAAGCCTTTGCTTTGTTAAGCTAAACAAACCAAGTTATCTTATTCCGTCTTTCCTACGATAAAAAGACTTCATCTTTTTTGCCTATTTGCCTTTGTAGGCTTTTTCTGGTTTATATTCCAGTATTAATTAATCCTTCTCAAACAGGAGCACCTGTAGTGAGAACAGTAGGTAGTATTGTATCTAGGTCTTACAGGATGGATCCATGCCTTCTCATCTCTACCTATTCAACCCATCAAAGATATTCTTTTTTTAATGGCTGCATCATACAGTCAGGTCTGTCGCA